AATAAGGGTGGTGGTGTATGGAGCACTGGACGGTATATAAGGTATAGTACAGTGGTGGGATCCCCTTGTGGGTTCCCTGCTCTCTCTGTTGTTTAAACTGGAAGTGACAAGACAGGAAAGCTGGCACATTTGAGGGGTCTCTCTCTCTCTCTCTCTCTCTCTCTCTCTCTCTCTCTCTCTCTCTCTCTCTCTCTCTCTCTCTCTGGCATTCAACATTGACTCATCCAATTCTGCTGACAACATGACACAAACCATTACATCTGGAACGGGCCTCTCCATCCCCTACACTGTACTAACAATGAAATCAAGAGCCACCGCCCTCGTTCATCCTATCCAGCCAGAGAACGACCACACACAGACCTCCAGCGGACAATGACATCTCAAATACTTAAAACATTTATATTACTGTTGGTAAACATGACAAACAAACAAGAAATAGTTCCTTCAATCCAAAACACAAGTCATGGATTATTAAATTAGTCAAATTACGAATTATCCCCCCCCCCCCACCTTAGGGTAATTAATCAATCTTCTCAATCAATCACCTCATTCATGTCTAGTGACGGAAATGTGTTTAAAGAAAGTATACCCAATCACTACCACCTCCCTGACGCCCAAATATGGTTTCTGTTTCCTCGCTCTGATGCTTCATAAAATTTGGAGATGATCTAGACAACTTCCACGAGTCGTATGCTATTATTGCTTTTGATATTTCTAAGGTATGGAGAAATTTTTTCATTTTTTGGGGGGGTTATATTTTCATATTTTGGTTTCCCTGATTATTTAATTTGTTACATCATCATATTTCTCTCCAACAGCCACATGGATGGTTCACAGATAAAACTTTTACATCAGTGTTGGAATACCTCAAGGTTCGGATTTGGTTCCTACACTCTTTTTCTTACGCCTCCAGTTGTTGACCACCTCTCCTCCTTTTACAGTACTACACACCCTCTCACTATTGACACTTTAACCAACATAAAACTCTATCTTGTCTCTTCAATACGCACACCCAAGTCAAGTTAAGCCAAGACAAGACAAGCCAAGCCAAGTCAACCGCGAGCTCTCCCAATTACGCCAACAGTACAACAGACGACCACGAATCCAAACTTCAATGGGGCACAAAATAACCCAGTTCCACTCAATACCACTAAGACATAAACTCCCACGGTCTCTCCCATCAAGATCAATCCCAACCTCCAGTTACATCCAGTCTCACACCCCCCTCCCCCCTCATCATACCAGTCACCAGTCTATCTTTCTTACTATAATAAAACATCTCTTGGTATCACCCCATTTCGAACACTGGGGTTCACTTCTCGGGGGTCCATGAACACCTTGCTTCTACAGACATCTTATTCTTCACAGCACCCATGGACCACTATACACTGACGCATCAACTGTATTGGCCATTATTACACTAACTCAAAGACCAAGTCAATTGACTCAAACAACGACCAGTCCTTCACTTCTTCCTTACTTATGATTTGTACCAAATTCATTCTCTCTCTCTCTCTCTCTCTCTCTCTCTCTCTCTCTCTCTCTCTCTCTCTCTCGCTCTCTCTCTTCCATGGTCAGTGAGTCAATTGAAATCCAGACCATTAGCCCTTTCAATCTCAGTCCCAACACACGTCATTCTTTATCAAGCCATCCCCTTAATATGTCCTGGTTCACTGTCACTCATTGTCAAACTCAACTGGACACCCTAACAATCACCCAGTGTGTCAACAACCACAGAGTGTCTCAATATAACTGAGCAGGTGGAGTGTAGCTGAAAATCTCTCAAGTGTCAACAAGTAAGGAGTGTAGCTGTAACTACCTGATCGATCAAGAACCACTGAAGGTGTTGTCAACTCACCATAGTGTCATGTGTTACTCAGTGTTAGGGGTCACTTTGGTGTAAACAATAACAAAAGGTCGTCTACAATCAATAACTGTGTCAATAACAACTATTATCCTCAATAACCACCAGCTGAGTGTATTAATAACCACTGGGTATCAACAACCATCATAATACAACCACCACCACTTTACAACAACCACTATCCTACAACAGCCATCCTCCTACAACTACCAACACTTTACAACCACCACCATCCTACAACCACCACCACCACCATCCTACAACCACTACCAGCATCCTACAACCACTACCAGCATCCTACAACAACAACCACCATCCTACAACAACCACCAGCATCCTACAACCACTACCAGCATCCTACAACCACTACCAGCATCCTACAACAACAACCACCATCCTACAACAACAACCACCATCCTACAACAACCACCACCAGCATCCTACAACCACTACCAGCATCCTACAACAACAACCAGCCATCCTACAACCACCACCACCACCATCCCACAACCACCAGCATCCTACAAACAACAACCACCATCCCACAACAACCGCAGCATCCTACAACCACTACCAGCATCCACAACCACTACCAGCATCCTACACACAACAACCACCATCCACACAACCACCACCAGCATCCTACAAACCACTACCAGCATCCTACAACAACAACCAGCATCCTAAGCCAGCAACAACCATCATAATACAACCACCACCACTATCCTACAACAGCCATCCTCCTACAACTACCAACACTTTACAACCACCACCATCCTACAACCACCACCAGCATTCTACAACCACTACCAGCATCCTACAACCACTACCAGCATCCTACAACCACTACCAGCATCCTACAACAACCACCACCATCCTACAACAACCACCACCATCCTACAACCACTACCAGCATCCTACAACAACAACCACAATCCTACAACAACCACCACCATCCTACAACAACCACCACCATCCTACAACCACTACCAGCATCCTACAACAACAACCACAATCCTACAACAACCACCACCATCCTACAACAACCACCACCGCCCGTGTCAACTCCGTGAACTAACAACTATGAGCGTGAAAGCTGGACCAATATATCCCTGATACTTCATCTTTAAAGTCTTCCCATTGGTGCATTGTTACCTTGTATATCTCTCTCCCTCTCTTTCCCTGCACCACCGCGCCACTGTTATATTGTTACCTTGTATACCGTAACTCTCTCTCACTACATCACTACTACTGCCATCTCACCGCTACATTGCTACCTTGTATACAACTCTCTCTCGTCATCACTACTACTGCCATCTCACCGCTACATTGCTACCTTGTATACAACTCTCTCTCTCACACGTCACTGGAGGAGAATGAAGTCATCGCAGAGGTGACCAGAACCACTGTTACGGATTCCATTGACACAATAGTTGACGTCATAAAACCAGGTATCAGTGACATTATAATGCAAACACGAGTGATGTCATAATACCAGGAAGCCGTTAACAAGTATACGTAATAAAGATGCAATACATCCTAACAATTATCCCCGCCACGTACAAGGCTCACCACACACTCTACCCACCAAAGCTGTTAGACGCCACGAGGTTAAGATAATATGTGTTGTAGCAGTGAACATGTACAGCTCAGTACACCACGAGGGCTGTTTGTTTGTTTGTTTCTCACTGTATTTACATGTTACTGTATTGTGTTGTTTTGTAGTTGTTAATGGAGGAAAATATAGTGGGAAATTGGGATAGGACTCGACTCCCTGATGAGTGTCACGGCTCAATGGTCCAAACCCTCAACTGTGACGGCTGTAGTTCTTCCATACATACTGTACAGTAGATATAATATTAAAAAAATGTTTCTTAACTTGTGTAATTGGTAATAGGAAACAGCTACAGGGAGGAAGGGTTATACTAAAATATAACTGGAAACAAGAATAAAGGGAGGAGCGTGAGAGAGTATCCTACGGTGATGTAAAGACCACACCAGTATTGACAACTCTGCTCTCCTCGCCAACTAGGACTCTACTCCCTGGCTATGACGTCAGCAACTGACGTCACAAGACGGGATCCCCCGCGGAGGGGTAGGAGGGTTGCCAGAGCTCACCAGCGGCGCCCGATTGTTTACCATTGGCAGGCGCGTCTGCCTACATCCCGGTACGCAGGTGTTTGTTGACACTGTGGCAAGGAGGTGGTGCTGGCCCCGATCATGGGGCGCCGGGGAAAGGCGAACCTTACTGGAAATAATAACTTTTCCCTCGCGACTGTTGCAGCCTCTACCACCACCTCAACTACCACCACCACTTGTAAGGCTGCTTCGCCAACGGGCCCCAGGAATCAATGCATTTAGACTTATCGTATGGAACTATCTATTTAGACTACTCTTAAATACACTCCCCTCCTCCTCTTCTTCACCTTTTCCTCCTCCACTCTACTTCACACTGTTACTTTACCGAACTCCTTGCAGTGACGTAACAGCCTCCCTGTGATGGACACCACGAGAGAGAGAGAGAGAGAGAGAGAGACACTCAAACGGACACACTCATCAGAGAACACAAGTCACTCTCTCTAGAGGTGACCAACACACACATCTTCCGCGCCCTCTTCTCCAGTTATAACATTCATATTCGTCTTTCAGTGCATTCTTCTTTCTATATTCAGTACCAATTTTATTTTTCATACTCTCTCTCTCTCTCTCTCTTCTCTCTCTCTCTCTCTCTCTCTCTCTCTCTCTCTCTCTCTCTCTCTCAATTACAGAACTCCAATACCATCATCAACTCCTGACTCTCGGAGGTTCCCTAAATAATAATAATAATAATAATAATAATAATAATAATAATAATAATAATAATAATAATAATAATAATTACTAACGTTAATAATAAGAATTTCTTGGCATAGGGCAGACCAATCGATGAGGCTAGTTAACTCCCCTCTCTGTTGGGCCTGTGCATCATCCTACAGCCTGTGCTTCATCCTACAGCCTGTGCATCATCATACAGCCTGTGCATCATCCTACAGCCCGTGCTTCATCCTACAGCCCGTGCATCATCCTACAGCCTGTGCATCATCCTACAGGCTAACCCCTTGACCAATAGGCAGCTCCCGGAGTATTCTTTACCGACACCAGTATTGTGAGACTCGACAGGACGACTCCCTTGGGCCCCGACACCCTTGGGCCCCGAGACCCTTGGGCCCCGAGACCCTTGGGCCCCGACACCCTTGGGCCCCGAGACCCTTGGGCCCCGAGACCCTTGGGCCCCGACACCCTTGGGCACCGAGACCCTTGGGCACCGAGACCCTTGGGCACCGAGACCCTTGGGCCCCACAGTGTTGATTAGGAGAAAGGCCAAGTGGGTATTCAGCTGTCGACGAAATAAGAAAACCTGGACACTCACTGGTGGCCGAAGAACACCGTATGTATTATAAATTGTGGCCAAAATGAACGACTATAACCTCAACTGTGGCCAAAAGAACATCTTGTGATTTTTCAGTTGTGGCCAAAATGAAAAAACCTTTTGGATACTCAATTGTGGCCAAAATGAACATCACAATCCTCAACTGTGGCCAAAAAAGAACACCTTATGGGTACTTAATTATGGCCAAAATTAACACCACAAATCACAACTGTGGCCAAAACAAAACACCACATGAATTCCTAATTGTGACCAATAACAACTCAAATATTTCTCAATGACCAATAAGATCGCCTAATATATATTTTCAATCACTCATGACCAATCAAAAAGTACTACACACCTTTACCTTCGAGCCAATCACAGTACTCCCTTCATACACGTCAATTTAACCACTGTATCGTGTCTATAATTGGTACAGCTTGAACTCTTTGTCTTTATTTACTGTAACCAGGCTGTAGTCCCCTCATAGATTATAGTTTAGCCCCTGTATCGTGTCTGTAGCTGCGTCATCCTCGTAAGGCGGAGGTTCTTGTTGGCGCCAGTCGTAGTTGAAACTGTCTCGCCTCAATTACCAGACTCGAATTCTTTCTCTACTACCAATGGAGAGAGAGAGAGAGAGAGAGAGAGAGAGAGAGAGAGAGTGTGTGTATGTATGTGTGTGTGTGTGTTTATCTTTGGATTTCAATTGTTTACCTGTGCACTTCACCTGCACGTCACTAATTATAACAAGTGTACTTTTATTACGTCATCTGAAACAATACCGTCATCATCTATAAGTCGTCTACTCCTCTACGCTATACGGGGTGGGTGACTGGCTGGCGTCCACTACAAACAGCGAAGAAACCTGAGGCGCTACTCCCAGGGTGTGGTTTCAAGTATGACCTCACACTGTCTCAAGTATGAACCCCACACTGTCTCAAGTATGACCTCACACTGTCTCAAGTATGAACCTTACACTGTCTCAAGTATGAACCTCACACTGTCTCAAGTATGAACCTCACACTGTCTCAAGTATGAACCTCACACTGTCTCAAGTATGAACCTCACACTGTCTCAAGTATGAACCTCACACTATCTCAAGTATGAACCTCACACTATCTCAAGTATGAACCTCACACTATCTCAAGTATGGACCTCACACTATCTCAAGTATGAACCTCACACTATCTCAAGTATGAACCTCACACTGTCTCAAGTATGAACCTCACACTGTCTCAAGTATGAACCTCACACTATCTCAAGTATGAACCTCACACTGTCTCAAGTATGACCTCACACTATCTCAAGTATGACCTCACACTGTCTTGCGTACATTAAAAAACACCAAGGCCTAATATTCTCACTCCTCTTTCTGCCTCACAACAATCATCTATTTTTTTTCACCCTCATTAGTTTTTGTTCAGTTTTTATTTCATGAGTTACTTATATTCATGGTAGGACAAACACTTATCATGGTAGGACAAACACTTATCATGGTAGGACAAACACTTATCATGGTAGAACAAACTTATCATGGTAGGACAAACACTTATCATGGTAGGACAAACACTTATCATGGTAGGACAAACACTTATCATGGTAGGACAAACACTTATCAAGGTAGGACAAACACTTATCATGGTAGGACAAACACTTATCATGGTAGGACAAACACTTATCATGCACTTATCATGGTAGGACAAACACTTATCATGGTAGGACAAACACTTATCATGGTAGGACAAACACTTATCATGGTAGGACAAACACTTATCATGGTAGGACAAACACTTATCATGGTAGGACAAACACTTATCATGGTAGGACAAACACTTATCATGGTAGGACAAACACTTATCATGGTAGGACAAACACTTATCATGGTAGGACAAACACTTATCATGGTAGGACAAACACTTATCATGGTAGGACAAACACTTATCATGGTAGGACAAACACTTATCATGGTAGGACAAACACTTATCATGGGGACAAACACTTATCATGGTAGGACAAACACTTATCATGGTAGGACAAACACTTATCATGGTAGGACAAACACTTATCATGGTAGGACAAACACTTATCATGGTAGGACAAACACTTATCATGGTAGGACAAACACTTATCATGGTCTCTTCAACATAAACAACTCTACGCCCTCAGTACACCTCTTTTCATTACCTCCATAACAACATAAGTAACATCTAGATTAATTCTCGACTTTTCCTTCACGTTAAACTGTACCTAGTGGCGTGTGTTGACAAAATGAACAGTGTTGCGACATGGCACGCACGCACGCACGCACACACACACACACACACACACACACACACACGCACACACACACACACACACACACACACACACACACACACACACCAGGAAACATCAACATGAAAGGTATTATAAACGTAGCTAAATTCTGTTCCTCGCTATAACACGGGTCAAAGGTCAAGAGGTCAGGCGCCACAGGTAAACACTCACACGGAAGCACAGGTCAAGCATATGAAGACAAGAAATAAAATAAACACGACAGTTAAAAGAGAACCAAATAAAACAAGACTACAAAAAATAAATTAATTAAAACAAGAATAACGGAAATAGGAATAAATAAGAGGGGGAGAGAGAGAGTGAAGAAATACCTGATACGAAGAGAACAAATTACAAATAAAATAAATGATAAAGTGAACAAAACAAGACTCAAAATACAGTCGACCCTAAAACCATTCTCTCGGTGAGTGACTTTGACCTCTGACCTAGCCCGCTTGATGATGACCTCTTACAAAGTTTCAATTCAGACAGACATACAGGTAGACTGAAAGACATACAGACAGAACAGATAGACAGGTTGATAGACAAACACAAGAGAGAGAGAGAGAGAGAGAGAGAGAGAGAGAGAGAGAGAGAGAGAGAGAGAGATTATGGAAGTGAGTAGAGAGGAAGGTGGGAGTAATCCTCTCTCGCTCTCTCTCTCACCGCCTCAGTGAACGCGGTCGGGGGGAAGGAACACGTCAATACACGTCTCAACATGTTACTGACGTGTTCCTGGATAAGCTCCATTATTCCATCCCCTACTTTTATATAGTACTTTTCCGCCTCACTTATAATCTTCCCTCGTCGTTATTACTTACTTTCTCAACTTATAATCTTCCCTGGTAATCAATACTTTACTGCCTGTACTTATATTTTCCCCCTATGAATAGTACTTTACTCTTACTTATAATCTTTCCTTCGTATTACTTTATTAATGGATTCTCAACCTAACCTAACCTAACCAAACCTAACCTAACCAAACCAAACCAAACACATGACACCTAAATTACACAGATAATAGATAGGGTTAATTTACAACCAGTTAAGGGGTTAAATTACACTAATATTAACTGCATACGTATAGTTATTACCAGTTAAGTGAATAAAGTTACTTTATGACTGTCAGTTCACGTTCACTTATTACCAGTTAAGTGAATACAGTTACTTTATGACTCAGTTCACGTTCACTTATTACCAGTTAAGTGAATACAGTTACTTTATGACTCAGTTCACGTTCACTTATTACCAGTTAAGTGAATACAGTTACTTTATGACTCAGTTCACGTTCACTTATTACCAGTTAAGTGAATACAGTTACTTTATGACTGTTCATTCACTTACCAACAGTTAGAAGATACAATTTCACGTAGAGAATCTTGGTGACTTTGGACTCGGCCTCTGTGGTGTGTGTGTATGTGTGTGTGTGTGTGTGTATGTGTGTGTGTGTGTGTGTGTGTCTGCCTAGGAGGAGAGGTGGAGGGAAGTAGCGTCACTTTACTGAATGGTACGTTTATCTGCATTCCTGAGCTCACTATACACTTTTTGTGTGTGTGTGTGTGTGTGTGTGTGTGTGTGTGTTTGTGTGTGTGTCCTGTCGTTTTTTTTTACACCGTTTACCCAAGAGCTCTATAAACATACACGCCATCTTGATCTGCCCAGTGTCTTGTACCAGTCGTCTCTAGAAAATCGGTTAGTAAACAAAAACTCTCCTAAAACGATTATTTATCTTCATTTTCTCAGTAACATTCACCCTTTCTTCTTCCCCCACCACCTCAAGTGTTCCTCCAACTGGTCAACAAATTTTATGCTAATCTTCCCTACGTGTTGTTGCTACCGATTTGCCCATGACATGTTTGACATCTACTCAGACATATTTTCACAATCATGGACTGGAATAACATTGAAATAAGGAGCCATCAGAGGGGAAATGTCTGTACCAACTTTTTAAAACATCTAAAAATAAATGCAAACTGAGTTGAATGTTTTCTAGAACTGAGACCACGACAACCAGTACTACCACACACTACCACCACTACAACCACACATCACCATCAGACACCACCACCACACACTACCACCACTACAACCACACATAACCAGACACCACCACCACCATCAGACACCACACACTACCACCACTACAATCCACACACCACCATCAGACACCACCACCACATACTACCACCACTACAACCATACAAAACCAGACACCACCACCATCAGACACCACACACTACCACACACCACCACAACCACCATTTAGTATCTCCAACAAAGCAAGAAGCAAAATTTACTCACACACACACAGACTCTTGCTCGACTAGTAAACACAACAGATAATCAACACTTGAGGATATACCCAACAGCCTTAGCGATGGTAAAGATCTGAAGCGTTCTGGACCAAAACATCTTCAAGGAGACTATAGCCCAGAGTAGGGTATCAACACAAGAACTTGGGGGGGCACGATGATAGTAGGGTACATGGGGAAAGTAAGAATGTAAACAGTTTGAGGTCTGGATCCATGTGAAACTAAGAATAAGATTGTCCAGGGGTTATGGGTCCCTGTGAAACTTAAATGTTCAGTAATGTAAACATGAAAAGGTGTGGATCCCTGTGAAACTAACGCAACGAAACACACACACACACACACACACACACACACACACACACGTAACATAAGTATACACACCAAAAAAAAAAAACAACATGCAAAATTACTATAAAAAAACACTGAAAATCTATCTGATATTTTACCAAAGTTTCCGAACCTTAATTTTGTCCTCTGTAACTTGTGCTAAATGAACGTAGTCTATGAATTACTGATACTATTTCTCCTTGATATTCCTTGGTTTTTGTTCAATTAAGCAGTTAGGTTAGGTTAGGTTAGGTTCACGAGGAATGGTCACAGTACGAACCTTTGTGATTGAGGGTCTCGTATCGGTGGATAAACAGAGCCTAGAGATGATAATATTTGGAGAGAAGAATCAGGATGTTATTGGAGGTGACAAGGTGGTAACTTAGCGTTTATGTGGGGGAAGTGGAGGAACAAGCTGACAGGCCGTGTGTGTGTGTGGACGGGCGTGTGTGTGTGTGGACGGGCGTGTGTGTGTGTGTGTGTTTTTTTAAGGAGACTATATAACACTCCATGGTTTCATAAACTCAGAACCCACGAACAGTCTCCCCTTAATAGTAAACAGACAGACAGACAGACAGACAGACACCCACGGAAACGTCTCAGTCCAGTGTAATGCTGACGACTCGACTCCTTCCAGCTTGACGACCCCTTCTTCCAGCTTGACGACCCCTCCTTCCAGCTTGTATCATTAGCGTCGTTAACTAAAGCTGGCTAATTAATTACTACCTCATTTATCAATTTATAGGGACAAAAAAAAATATCCTACGATCCTTTGAGAGTCCTACCCTTGGTTCTTAAATCTTTCCCTTGTGGTGAGTCCTTTATTACTACCACAT